GGGGCTCTAAGGCACAATCCCTCCTTGCCCCTCAGCTTCGGGGTTCCTGGCTGCCGGTGGCCTCCCTTGGCCTGCAGCTGCCCCACTCACCTGTGTGTGCCCCATCAGTGCGCAGCCTTCAGGGATACCAGTCACTGGAGAGGGCACCAGGGCTGTTGCAGCCTCATCTTGACTAATCAGATATGCAATGACCCTGTTTCCAAGTAAGGTTTATTTTGAGGTCCCAGAAAGGACATGCATCTGGGGGGAGCCATCCAACCCAGTGCACCCTCTTTGCTACAGCCAGCCACCAGTCTCCGAGTCCATCTTCATTCCTCGGGCACTTGGGACCTGGCACATGGCCCATCTCCACAACCCAGACCAGCTATCAGCCAGAGCAACTTGGTCCTCCTCGAGCCCGACCCATGCAAACCCCGGCCTCTCTATCCCCAGACCTCCACCGCCCTGTGGCTCTGGCCACACCTCTCCAGCCACCAATCCCAGGGCCACTCTGTGGACTTTGTCATCATCTGCAGCTGGTGTCCCTCTGAAGCCATCACTCACAAAACGTCCTGTGTGACTGTCTTCTCCTCCCCATCGCACAGCCAGTAACAGACCCAAAGGTGCTTGTGTTAAGTCAGCGGGCCAAACAAGCCCCTGTGTCAGCAGAGCCAGCCTGCAGAGCGCGCACGGGGCCGCCTGCTCTCTGATGCTTCCTGCTGGGCACCGCCAGGAGGGCAGCTGCCTCCCCATCGGCCTCCTGTTCTACTGCGAGGATTCCAAGACTCCACCAACCCCAAGTCAGCATCCAAAACATCCTCGTCCCCCATCCTTTCTTTGTTCTGCCTGGAAAAGCCCGTGCAGGGTCCCCAACACCACCCCGAGGATGGCACAAAGGAACAGTCACACCCCTGCAGGCCCGGGGGAATTGGCATAAGCCTTAGCCAGGCCTCAACTGCGAAACCTGTGATCAGTGTCCCCCTCACTTTTTGCCTCTCCTTCCAAACAGAATCCATACCGCCTGGGCATTGCCCTCGGGCCCACCCACCACTTCCAGGCCTTTCCACCCAGCGTTACACTAAACCCCTACGTGGCTTCCTCTCATCCTTAATCCCCACCCAGCCTCGCAGGCTCTGAGGGAATCACCCACACGTTCCACCTTTTTCAGTCTCTACTGGAATCTTTTACCATCATTAAATGTGCTCATGTCTCTCTCCTTTTTAAAACAAAGGGACTCCCTACAGATCGCCTCCTTCTTCACCTTCCACCCTCGCCCCTCCTTGTGCACACTCACGTAGCACTGTCCTCTCACGCCCCCTGACGTGCAGCAGCCTTGCTTCTCTGCACTGCTCGACTCCACGAGGTTCCCACAGCCCGTCGCCACGCCCTGTGGACGGGGGTCATGTGCCCCCACTCGCCCTCCCTCCTGGCCCGCACTCCCCTGGATTTCTGCATCGCACACCTTCTTCCCAGCACTTAGCAGCCTCTCCTCCTCTCCGCCTCCAGGGGTGTCTAAGGCTCATTGATACCTCAGCCTTCTACTGAAAAAACAAAATTTAACCAAGTAAATTTGAAGATCTAATTGGCTTTATTATGCGATTTGGGCAGCAATCCACCCAGCAAGAAGAGATCCGAAGCAATTGTACAAAATGGGAGGTTTTATAGGAAGGAGGGGGGGTGGGCAAGGAAATTATTAGCAAAAGCAAAGAAAGGACTGTCAGGCCAGGTCACCCGCTTAGGGGAAGTGCATTCTCAGCATGAAGTGACCTCATCTTCTGGGGATGAACAGGGCCCATGTGACAGAGTACCTGATTGGTGCTGTCCAGAAAATTCCAGATTGATTATTAAAAGGTCACATTCCCGGGACAGGTTTGCAATTGTAAGCAAGCCTTGTTTGGGGGTGCAAATTCCTCCATTTGGGGCTTGTCTCTTTTTCTCCACACTGCACTCTGCCTGGCCCATCTCCCAGAGGTTGTGGCGCCACGTGCAATGGCTTCTGCAGCTGCTCCACCTCGGAGGGCTGGTGTCCTGGCTAGTCATGACCCCTCAACTCCCCCTCCCAGGGACGGAGGTAGGCAGGACAGTCTGGCCCCACCAGACCTTACAGAAGCAGCTCTGGGTTCTTCTAGTCCACTGATGCGCCTGCTGTTGGCTGTGGAGTCCGGCTGCCCCGAAGCTGCACTGAGGGGCTGAGCCCCAGAACCAGGAGAGCAGAGGAGTTAAAGACTGTGGGGCAAATCTGAATGGACAGGAGCTGGAGACAGAGAGCTAACAGGTAAATTTTTTTCTTTTTCCCAAAGAACTGTTCTTGTAAGGCCTGGTGGCTCTCCACATCCTGCACGGAAGACAGGCTGATGGCCAGGCGACTGGGCGTTCCCCTGCACAGCGGCGCTGGCTCGGTGAGGCCCCACCCACAGCTCGCTTTCCTTCTTCACTGGCTCACCTCTTTCCCCCTCTTGTTGGGCTGACACTCAGCAATAAAGCCTTAGCAAGCGAGCTAAGACTCCCCAGCACACGGGAATACCATCCTGCTGTCAACAGGATGACGTGACACCTCGTACCCACTGGGATGAAAGACTCCAGGAGTCAAGTAATAACAGGGATGGACAAGGGCATTGAGAAATCAGAGCTCTCGTGCCCTACTGGTGGGGTTTTGAAATACTGCAGCTGCCATGGGAAATGGCCCAGCAGGGCTGCGGATGATCCAAGAGAGTTACCCAGGCCCGGCTGCACTGTTAGCAGCCCCACCCAAGAGCAGGAGAAACACAAGTCTCTGCAGAACTTCCACACAAGCATCTACAGAAGCACCATTCATCACAGCCACAGATGGAAGACAACACAGCGGTCCCATCAACTGGCCAAGGAATAAACAAAACGCAGTATTTCCGTATAATGAGATACTGTTCAGCCCTAAAGGAATGAAATACTGATACAAGATACAATGTGGATGAACCTGGAAAATTAGCAAAAGCAAAGAAAGGACTGTCAGGCCAGGTCACCCGCTTAGGGGAAGTGCATTCTCAGCATGAAGTGACCTCATCTTCTGGGGATGAACAGGGCCCATGTGACAGAGTACCTGATTGGTGCTGTCCAGAAAATTCCAGATTGATTATTAAAAGGTCACATTCCCGGGACAGGTTTGCAATTGTAAGCAAGCCTTGTTTGGGGGTGCAAATTCCTCCATTTGGGGCTTGTCTCTTTTTCTCCACACTGCACTCTGCCTGGCCCATCTCCCAGAGGTTGTGGCGCCACGTGCAATGGCTTCTGCAGCTGCTCCACCTCGGAGGGCTGGTGTCCTGGCTAGTCATGACCCCTCAACTCCCCCTCCCAGGGACGGAGGTAGGCAGGACAGTCTGGCCCCACCAGACCTTACAGAAGCAGCTCTGGGTTCTTCTAGTCCACTGATGCGCCTGCTGTTGGCTGTGGAGTCCGGCTGCCCCGAAGCTGCACTGAGGGGCTGAGCCCCAGAACCAGGAGAGCAGAGGAGTTAAAGACTGTGGGGCAAATCTGAATGGACAGGAGCTGGAGACAGAGAGCTAACAGGTAAATTTTTTTCTTTTTCCCAAAGAACTGTTCTTGTAAGGCCTGGTGGCTCTCCACATCCTGCACGGAAGACAGGCTGATGGCCAGGCGACTGGGCGTTCCCCTGCACAGCGGCGCTGGCTCGGTGAGGCCCCACCCACAGCTCGCTTTCCTTCTTCACTGGCTCACCTCTTTCCCCCTCTTGTTGGGCTGACACTCAGCAATAAAGCCTTAGCAAGCGAGCTAAGACTCCCCAGCACACGGGAATACCATCCTGCTGTCAACAGGATGACGTGACACCTCGTACCCACTGGGATGAAAGACTCCAGGAGTCAAGTAATAACAGGGATGGACAAGGGCATTGAGAAATCAGAGCTCTCGTGCCCTACTGGTGGGGTTTTGAAATACTGCAGCTGCCATGGGAAATGGCCCAGCAGGGCTGCGGATGATCCAAGAGAGTTACCCAGGCCCGGCTGCACTGTTAGCAGCCCCACCCAAGAGCAGGAGAAACACAAGTCTCTGCAGAACTTCCACACAAGCATCTACAGAAGCACTATTCATCACAGCCACAGATGGAAGACAACACAGCGGTCCCATCAACTGGCCAAGGAATAAACAAAACGCAGTATTTCCGTATAATGAGATACTGTTCAGCCCTAAAGGAATGAAATACTGATACAAGATACAATGTGGATGAACCTGGAAATATTATGCTAACTGAAAGAAACCACTCACAAAAGACCGTGTACTGTCTAATTCCATTCACATGAAACTCCCTAACAGCAAGACCTAAAGAAAGAAAGCCGGTCAGTGGCTGGAGACGGGAGGATGGTGGGGATGGGTAATGGGTGACGGCTAAAGCATGTGGGAGTTTCTTTTTGGGGTGATGAAAATGTTCTAAAATGAGACTGCTGATGGATGCACAGCTCTGTGAATGCATCAAAAGCCACTGAATTGTACACTTTACATGGGTGAATTGCTCAGTATGTGAAGTTTATCTCAATAAAGCCATTAAAAATGATGACATAAGGATGCTCACTCTCCCCACTTTCATTCAACATAGTTCTGGAAGGTCCTAGCCATGGCAATCAGACAACACAAAGAAATAAAAGGCATCCAGACTGGCAAGGAAGAAGTTATACTGTCCCTGTTTGCAGATGACATGATATTGTACATAAAAAACCCTAAAGAATCCACTCCAAAACTACTAGATCTAAAATATGAATTCAGCAAAGTTGCAGGATACAAAATTAACACACACAGATCTGTTGCTTTCCTATTCACTAACAATAAACTAGCAGAAAGAGAAATCAGGAAAATAATTCCATTCACAATTGCATCAAAAAGAATAAAATACCTAGGAATAAACCTAACCAAGAAAGTGAAAGACCTATACTCTGAAAAATACAAGACACTCATGAGAGAAATTAAAGAAGGTATCAATAAGTGGAAACACATCCCATGCTCATGGATACAAAGAATTAATATTGTCAAAATGGCCATGCTGCCTAAAGCAATCTGTAGATTCAATGCAATCCCTGTCAAAATACCAATAGCATTCTTCAATGACCTGGAGCAAATAGTTCTAAAATTCAAATGGAACCACAAAAGACCCCAAATAGCCAAAGTAATCCTGAGAAGGAAGAATAAAGCAGGGGGGATTATGCTCCCCAACTTCAAGCTCTACTACAAAGCCACAGTAATCAAGACAGTTTGGTACTGGCACAAGACCAGATCCACAGACCAATGGAACAGACTAGAGAGCCCTGATATAAACCAACCATATATGGTCAATTAATATATGATAAAGGAGCCATGGATATACAATGGGGAAATGACAGTCTCTTCAGCAACTGGTGTTGGCAAAACTGGACAGCTACATGCAAGAGAATGAAACTGGATTATTGTCTAACCCCCTACACAAAAGTAAACTCAAAATAGATCAAAGACCTGAATGCAAATCATGAAACAATAAAACTCTTAAAAGAAAACATAGGCAAAAATCTCTTGAATATAAACATGAGCAACTTTTTCCTGAATGCATCTCCTTGGGCAAGGGAAACAAAATAAAAAGTGAACAAATGGGACTACATCAAGTTAAAAAACTTATGTACAGCAAAAGACACCATCAGCAGAACAAAAAGGCATCCTACAGTATGGGAGAATATATTTGTAAATGACAGATCCGATAAGGGGTTAACATCCAAAATATATAAAGAACTCACATGCCTCAACACCCAAAAAGCAAATAACCCGATTAAAAAATGGACAGAGGATATGAACAGACAATTCTCCAAAGAAGAAATTCAGATGGCCAACAGGCACATGAAAAGATGCTCCACATCACTAATTATCAGGGAAATGCAAATAAAAACCACAATGAGATATCACCTCACACTAGTTAGGATGGCCAACACAGAAAAGACTAGGAACAACAAATGCTGGCGAGGATGCGGAGAAAGGGGAACCCTCCTACACTGCTGGTGGGAATGTTAGCTAGTTCAACCACTGTGGAAAGCAGTATGGAGGTTTCTCAAAAAACTAAAAACAGAAATACCATTTGACCCAGGAATTCCACTTCTAGGAATTGACCCAAAGAAAACAACTTCTCAGATTCAAAAAGACATATGCACCCACCCCTACGTTTATCACAGCACTATTTATAATAGCCAAGATAGGGAAGCAACCTAAGTGCCCATCAGTCGATGAATGGATAAAGAAGTGGTACATACACACAATGGAATACTATTCAGCCATAAGAAACAAATCCTACCATTTGCAACAACATGAATGCAGCTAGAGGGTATTTTGCTCAGTGAAATAAGTCAGGCAGAGAAAGACAAGTACCAAATGATTTCCCTCATTTGTGGAGTATAAGAAAAAAGGAAAACTGAAGGAACAAAATAGCAGCAAACTCAGACTCCAAGGGACTAGTGGTTACCAAAGAGGAGGGGTGTGGGAGGGCGGGTGAGGAGGGAGAGAGAAGGGGATTTTGGGGTATCATGATTGGTACACATGGTATGTGCGGGGTCATGGGGAAGACAGTGTAGCTCAGAGAAGACAAATAGGAACTCTGTGGCATCTTACTACACTGATTGACAGTGACTGCAATGGGATATGGGGGGGATTCGATAATAAGGGTGAATGTAATAACCACATTGTTTTGTGAAACCTTCATAAGAGCATATATCAATGATATCTTAATAAAAAAATGATGACAATCTATACTGATTGACTCTGAAAAATACTCTTGACCTCTGAAGAACTGGTCCATTCTATTGACAGCAGGATGTGAAGTCTGATCCTATTTATGTTTTTTTTTTTAAAAAACATGCATTTATGCATAGGACAAATATCTGAAAATACCTCAAAATGCTGCAGTGAGCAGACTCAGAGACTCCAAGAATGAACTAGTGGTTACCAAAGGGGAGGAGTGTGGGAGGGCAGGTGGGGAGGGAGGGAGAAGGGGATTGAGGGGTATTATGTTTAGGACACATGGTGTGGGAATCACAGGGAGAACAGTGTAGCCCAGAGAAGGAACATAGTCGATCTGTGGCATCTTACTACACTGATGGGCAGTGACTGCACTGGGGTATGGGTGGGGACTTGATAACATGGGTAAATGTAGTAACCACATTATTTTTTCATGTGAAACCTTCATAAAAGTGTATATCAATCATACCTCAATAAAAAAAAAATGCTGCAGTGAGTATCTCTAGGTAGTGGAATGATGGATGCTTTTAAAAATATTTCTCCATATTTTCTGAATGTTTTACAATGAGCACATGATGTTTTGCTATTAAAAATAATATACCTAGTCACATATCCCATTTTAAAAATTATTATAAATGGTTATTAATGTTATAATAAAAACATAGCAGGAATACAGACTAGGGGAGTAGATGGCTCACGGCATGACATCTCAAAGTTTCTAGACCATCAGCCATGATCCTTGTGTCCAAAAAAGCTACAGAAGCCTTGCGTCTGCAGAGATTTGGGGAGTAGGTACCACACGAAGGTGCATAAGTAATAGCAGACTTCCTTGCATCATAGCAGGCGATGATGAATATAAAGTGGTGCAATTAAGAACTAAATTGTACCTCATGTACATTTCCCTGAATACTTAATGCAGAGTAACTTACTGGGGCTGCACAGACTAGATCCCATGATATTCAACACTTCCTAGAGAAATTACACCAGTAACAGCTTCCCCAGGGATAAGGGAGTTTCAATTTCTCAAAATATTTGAATATGGTTTCAGACATCAAGGCTGCAGTTTCCAAAATGGTAAACTCAGATTCTTCCATCATCATTCTCTAGACTGACTTTATTCATGGGACCAGACTCCAAAGACATTTAGGCAAACCACATACCCTGGGGCTGCAGTGACAAACTCTACCTAAGACTGAGACCATACTGATGACCGTCTGCAGGGACCCAAGGAACTCAGCCCACATGAGTTCCTCCCACTTTTCCACATGCCCAAAGGTCCCCTCCGGTGCTCCAGGAGGCCCCCTGGTTCACAAAGTTCCAGTAGAGATACAAGAGGACATGGAAAGTCAGAGGCACTGGGCTGTATTATAGTATCAGATGAGGAGAGAAAAAATGGTAACCAAGTGAACAGACCTTACACCAATTAGTGAACGGAACTGCTAGTCCCTTTCCACATGGGAGACAAACAACACAGAAACCCACAAAATATTTTATACAGCATGTACTTGTCCATAAGCGATGTGACAACAGAAAGACATTGGCCAATATGCACAGCCAAGCAGCAGAGCGGAAGAAAAGAGATCAGGAAAACCGAATACCCCTGCGGTCACGAGGACACACTGATTCCTGTGCAGAGGACTCCACATTCACAGCAGCTCTAGGTAAGCAAAAAACTGTCACCTCTGCTTAGTGGACCTCATGTACCTGAAAAACAGTTTTTGAAAGCTGATATGCTAAAAAGAAGCTTCCTGCCTTTGCTGATGTTTCCTAACTAAATCCATGACATACCTACATTTCAGGGTCAAGACTGTGATGTAGATGCGTCTCGACTTCCATCGGTGCTTCTCAACCTGAGTATGTGAGACTTGAGGTTGACGGCGGCATAGGAGAGAGACAGTACAGGCTTCTGACGGTTGGGAAAGGGCTGACTCTCAATTATACGACATCCCACTGTACAGACGTGCAGTCATTTATCCAACTATTTGCCTATCGGTGGACAGTTGGACAGTTTTTGTTTTTGTTTTGCTTTTGTTATTACTAAGTTCCCATGTTACTGTGATGGTGTATCTTCATACACATACGGTGGAGGGGGGGTAATGGCTAAGACCCAGGTTATAGTATTTCTTGGAGTCTAACTGCTTTGAACCTTTGGGGACAAATTATACAGCGATGACCAGGGCTTAGAGAGGAATAGAGAGTGAGGTCTGATGCATCCGTTCACTCCCACTTCGGGTCACGCTAAGTGAATGAATACTGGTCACATTAATAGCAAATCCTACTTCTCGATTGAGCACAAGGGTTCAAGAACAAATTTCAGTTGTAATCCAGGGTGATAACACTTTTTATTTATGCTCTCATAGAAACAGAAAAAATTAAGTCAAATTCATGCCAGGCTGTCCACAGCATAACTGGGCTGTCTGGCCTGTCAGTTAGAGGTGGCAGAAAAGAGAAACCAGTACTGACCCTGGGCAACAGTACCAAGCTAATGAATGGCAATGCCCTTACAGAGAGCTTCTCAAAACTTTCCTAATGCAACATTCCTTAAAGCCAAGGGGTGTGAACACAGCCACTGCAAGCACTTTTCCTTGAAATCTCTGGTCCTATCATTTAAAATTCATGTGAATCCCCCTCCCCTCAAAATAAGGTTTGAGAAATATCAATATCTCAGGAAAATGTTTTCTTTTAAATGTTCTGGCATATAGCCACAAACCTGGATGTTGAAGACTCCACGATGGTCTTCCAAATGCCTAGGCCTGTAAGAGGATTTGCTATTTAGGGCACAAATTTCCTCTTTCAATCTCTGCTCATCCACAGGTAGGTATAAAAGACCACTGACTCTCACTGTTGTTGCTGAAGAACACCTTGAATACTATGATCTAGCTCAAAAAGATGTGGGGTTTTAACTAGCATGGGGCCTGCCCCCATACTTAGATGGCGTGACACAGGGTGGCAAACAGGATATAAATACATCATCACACATCAACAAAATAATCTGTTTCGTAGATAGAGTTTAAGAGTTTGTATTTTTCTTGAACGATTTTGATGGTTTGCTTTTTCCAAATGTCAGGAAGACAATTAGAAACTGGGAGCAATGTCTGAGTGAAATTTTTTTCATTTACGTTTCGTGAAGGGCTTTCTATCAGGAAGTTTCTGAACCGCCCTGGCAGCTGGGGGACATGAACGCACTTCGCTCGCACACGCACTTGCACAGGGAACTCGTACCTTGGCGCCCTGCCTCACGGTGTGCCCGGCGCCTTCGGGTCCCTGCGAGCATCAGCGCATTTCACAGGGGCGGGTGTGGCGCCCATCAGGAGCCCTGGGACGCGGGACACGGAACAGGGTCGCAGCATCACCCGGTGGCACCGCAAGTGCGGAGTGACCACCTACCGGCGACCAGGCGGAGGGGACCCGGTTGGAAGGGGAGGCGCATCCGTGGGCCGCGGCTGGGGGAGGATTTAGGCCAGCTGTTCAACCTCGGAACACCGAGGGGAGGGCGACTGCTAAGGGCTACGCGCTCTGGACATCGCTTTCCCGCCCTCGCGTCGGGTCTGCGCGCCGCCTCCCTCGGGGGACAGCCCGGAGCTGCACCCAGGATGGGGGAGGCGCCGCTCTCGGCCGGCCCGGCCCTCCCTGCCGGCCCCCCAACCAGGCCCGTCCGTCCGTACCCACAGACCCGCCTGCCCGGTCCAGCCCGATACGTCCGCACAAGCCCAGCCGCCCGCCCCATAACAGTCCCCGGGCCATCCGTCCGTCCGCGCTCCCGGGCCCGCGCGCCGGGAGCGAGGCGGCGGTGGCGTGTGATGACGTCATATGGGCCGCCCGCCCCCGATTGGCCGCGGCCGCCTCACCAGACCGCGGGCGGACGGGCGCGCGGGCGGGGCGGGGGCGCGCAGAGACCACGCCCCCAGCCGAGCTCGTCGCATCACGTGACCTGGCGCCGCCGCCCGCCTTATAAGCTGCGCCGCGCTCCCGGCGCCGCGGGCCTCACTCCAGGCTGTACCGTCCGCGAAGTGTTTGCTGGCGAACCCCGCGGGCGCTCCTAGACAGGTACGCTGGCCGGGCGGGGGGCGGCGCCTCCACACCCACACCCCGCGCCGCGCCGTCCCGCGTCTCTCGGGGGTGCGACGAGGCGGGCGGCCCTGCCTCTGGCTGCGGTACCGACCCGAAGCCAGCCCGGAGCAGGGTCTGTGCGCCTGACCCCGGTGGGCCAGGCAGGGCACCCCGTCTGAGCCCCGGTACTTGTCCTGGGGCGGCCTGTCCCCGGCTGGGCTCTGCCTGCAGCCATCGAGCGGGGTATGGAAAACTTTGGACGGGCGGGCACTCGGAGCTTATGCAGAGGGCATTTGCGGCCGTCAGCCGGGAGGGCTCGGCCCCGGTTCGGGGCAGCGCCCAGGTGTACCGAACATGTGGCTGTCGCTGCAGGCACTCCGTGCATCCCAGGTGTGCCGTGTAGGCATGTTCCGGGCAGTCCTTGCCAGTCCCTGCCCCGTGGGACCAGAGGCGTGGGACGTCCTATCTGGCCGACTACCCCAGGGACCTACCTGGAGGGTGGCGGGGCCTTCCTGGACCTGCCCTGTTTCTTGGAAGTGAATTTGATCAAGGTTCCCCCGCACCCCTTTTCCTTATAGGGAAGCCTGTCAGACTCTGGAGACTGATGCCCAGACTGGACCGGCACTTCTGGAGCTGTTCCTGCACCAGGCACAGAAGCCACCCGAGAGCCTGCGCCGGAGGGCTGGCAGCCAGAGTGGGAGAAATGATCAGCTCCTCAGCGTCCCGCTCCTCGCGCCTGGGAGCCCCCAGCGGCCCCGACAACGAGCCCTCCCTGCGGCCTCGGAGCACTGGTGTCGGGGGCCATAGTGGCAGCTGGCATCACCACCTGGTGCAAAGAAGCCTGGTGCTTTTCTCTGTGGGGGTCGTCCTGGCGCTGGTGCTCAACCTGCTGCAGGTCCAGAGGAACGTCACCCTGTTTCCCGAGGAAGTTATTGCCACCATCTTCTCCTCAGCCTGGTGGGTCCCTCCGTGCTGTGGGACAGCAGCTGGTGAGCATAAGTTAAAGATGTCTGTTTGGTTAAAAACGTTTTCAGCCCATCAGAAGCATTTATTTAAAAATGGGACCAGCCTCACTTTTCCAGCATTTGTATTTAGGAAAGGAGGCGGGCGGGCAAGGAGGATACAAGAACCCTGGGTGCTGGTGGCGGGAGGCTGGAGGGAGCCGGTTGAAGGCGGTGGGTGGGGAGATGATGGGCTGCGCCCGGCCAGCCGACGGGCTGCTTCCCGCTCACTGACCTGGCCCTGAGGACAGTGTGGAGGGGAGCCCCGCAGCTGTCAACGCGAGCGAGCAGCGCCCCGATTGGCTGCCTGCAGAACTGGTGAGCGGCGGGCTTGGAGTGCGATTGGCTGCCCCCTCGAACATGCTACACTGCTGGGTCACTGAAAACAAACCCATCACATGGGCAGAGGCGGTGCCCGCAGCCGCGGCTCCCACTTCCTTTTGCAGGGCGGCCTAGTGAACGTGGCTGAAGGCAGGCCCTTCCCCACAGAACTCTTAGGGCTCAGAGGTGAAACACGTGAGCACAGGGTCAGGCTGCATTGTGGACAGGTGGGCTGTGTAGAATGTCTTGACTATTTAGCTGGTTTTGTAACAATGCTGAATCGATCTTGGCCCAGAAGATCACTTAATACTTCCCTGGTCTCATGGCATCTGTTGATCAACGGACGTTTCCCAGGTGCTCCCGGCAGCCTAAACAGCTCCAGCTGTTGAAATCCAGAATGAGCGGACAGCCTAGGTCCTAAGCATTCCCTGGTCTGGAGGGCACAACAGACATGTGTCATGGCGAGGACAGAGCCATGGGAGGACTGCCCTTGTGTCTGCCCTGTGGCTGATGTTCGTGGGCTGCTTACTTGGCGCTTTGTACGGCTGGTCCGGTTCCTCCTCACAGCAGTACTGTGCTGTGTGTGGCTCCATTGCACAGGTGTGGAAACAGAAGCCAGAGGTAAAGCAGCTGCCGCCAAGGGGAAACAGTAAGTGGCAGGGCCACCGTTCATCCATTCAGAACTGCATGCTGCCTCCCCGGAGCCCGGGGTGCCCTCTGCTCCGTGAAAGCCCCTCACCTTTTCAGCAGGCTCCCTTCAAGGAGCAGGAAGATAGGAGGCTTGGAATGGGGAGCCGTGTGTTCCAGCCAGGACACAGGCTGGCAGGGGCGCTGGAGTTCTAGGCAAAGGTGGAATGTTTTCATCTTTGTTCTCGGAGAGATAGGACCCTGTTTTGTTTTTCTAAGCCCTTTAAGTATATGGCTATGCTATCTAAAATCCTTCTTCGGAAATAGATCTAGATATAAAATTCCATTTTTTTATACACATTCAGTGCAATAGTTTTTTTCTTTGAATCAAAAATATGATCTTATAAATGAAACATTTTAGATTAGGACTTATTTGCAATTGAAACATCCAGGAGTTCCAGGAATATCTGGAACAGTTAGTTTCTCATGCCTTACCTTTTTCTTTTTATCTGTCAGGCAAGAGGATAAGGGGAGACTCCCTGGTACATTTTTACCTATTTAGTTTTTAACCTTAAAAGGTAAGGTTAAGTTATAGTCAAGTAAGTTATAGAATTGTTTGGGTTCCATTTTTCAAAACTCCAAAATTAGAACTTGATAAAATGTAATGGGAAATTGAAACTGAAAGTCTTTCATTCAATGTTTGTTTAAAACTGTGTTTCTTGTTTCCCTGTTCAAAAACCTAAAACTGTTACTTCTTTCACAGGACACCAGGGTGGAACCCTGCAGGCTTCAAGCCTCAGTACTTGGGGAACTTTACGGGGGCACCTTGTGTCCCATAGTCGGGAACCCTAGGCCTGGATCCCCACTGGTCACCACACACCCTGTCTTCTCCTGCCCTTAATTCCTCCATTTTTCTTCTGTCCTGGAATGCCAGCCTTCCGCCCGGCTAATCCTCATTGTACTCCCTTATGCTTTAAAGTTCTGTCTGTAAAAACTTCCCAACTCACCCAGGCCACAGTAAGCCCTTCCTCCTCTGCCTTCCAGTTACATAACCCTCATCATTTTACACATGAAGAAACAAACAGGAGGAGACAGGTCCCATCAGAGCCATTTGGGAGTAGAGGCCCTGCTTTCTGTGCCTGGCCCTGTGCTCTTCCCACATTCAGGGCCTGGACTGGGCCAGCAGCTCACACCTGGGAATGGTGCACAGTGTGTGCTCGGGGTCTCCGACAGAAAAGGCTGGAGCCCCTTAACAATGCAGTCCACTGCCATCCTCTGGGCAAATGGTCTTTCTGATCCAGATGTCAAAGTCAGATCCATGTACATGTGCCCAGAATCATGCTGGTCCACCAGAGGAACATCAGAACCTATTGTACAACTTGTGGTCTCAAGGTGCTTATAAAAGCTTATCTTCATTATAAAATGGAAACGATAGTGATGAAAATGAAAGGCTAATGAGCAGGCATTTAGGTATTTTGTACTTTAGACCTATATGGATATTAAACCTCTGCTCGATTCACTTGTGTTAAAACAGCAGTTTTATTTTAAATCTCTCAAAACAGCATGATTTGTGTTTGTACAAAAATATAAAATTAGTTTTAAAAACTATTACAGCAGATAGATCCTCTACTTAAAGGGCCATTTGAAGAAATATTAAAGAGTTGCCCCATGGAGATCATACGATTTTAAGCCACTAGATTCTAACACCTCTCTTTTCTGTAACAGCTGTTGTCGGCTTGCTGTACCCCTGCATCGACAGCCACCTTGGAGAGCCCCACAAGTTCAAGAGAGAGTGGGCCAGCGTGATGCGCTGTGTGGCGGTTTTTGTTGGCATTAACCACGCCAGTGCTGTATCCTTCAGGGGCTGTGCTGTGCGCCAGTGTTTTCTCAGGTTGTATGTTGACGCATTCTGTTACTTCTAATGAGTATGTTCCCTCCGAGGTTAGTTGCACAATTTTCTTCCAAGTATTTTATCATAAAACATATTGCTTGGTTTACACTTAGCAGGAGATTTCGAAATGGTTCCTGGAGTCCTTTCAGTTAATTTCTGGAAACATTACCAGAGCTAGAGTGGACTTATTTATTCTCTCCTTTGCTAGACTATGGCTTGGCTCCCCAGAGTTTGTTTGGTGATTCCCCTTCTGCATTTCCACCCTTATCCTTGCATTAGAAGACCTGGGTCCTCTTACCCAGTAAGAAGTGGCCAGAGGGTCATTCTTCCTGGGGTCACTTCTTCCAGAGGTTGAGGAGAAGCCTGTCTCTGCTCCTGGCTGTGACTGTGGAAGCTCCAGAGCCAGTCAAAAGTGGTGTCCTCTGGAATGGAAGGCATTACACAGAATATGTGGGTGTCTGGACAGAGGTGCGTTTTCTGGGAAGATGGGCTGTCATTTACCAGGTCACCAAAGACTTTAGCATTTCTTTAGCACAACTTGATTATATTTTACTATCGTAAAGACATTTTTAGAGTTACTGATTCTTATATCTGCTCTCCCCCTATTTTAATGGTGACAGTGTGAAACTGGCATATTATAAGATATCTTAGCTCTGACAGATTTGTTTTTTCAGCAGTTGATAGGCAGTGTTGTGAGGAAGGCCAGCTGCGTCTCTACCAACTGTAAGAGTGTGACACTGAATGCCTTTCTGATGAGGTGTCTTTAGCAGACGTGGAGAGAAGAGTGTTTGCTCAGTTCAAATTACTAATAGAAGCAAACAAGAATGGGACTGCAGGTGGCTTACTAGCAAACTATGTTTTGTGGTCACAACACCAGCAGAATTTTATGTATAGCTCAGAAAATTTACTTTCAAAGTTAAGTTTTTGATGCAGTGATCCCAGAGAAGTCTCAGATCATCTTGATCACAGTAATCTTGTATCTAGCAAATTGTTTCTGCAGCTCACTGGGCAGTTTTATGGATGCCCAATAATAAAAACATCCTAGAGTTTTTTATTTGTTTTTGATCATATCAAAAATGTTAAACTTTTCCTTAACTGTGCATCACCAGAAATTGGATTTTGCCAATAACATTCAGCTCTCCTTGACGTTAGCAGCCCTGTCTTTGGGCCTTTGGTGGACATTTGACCGTTCAAGAAGTGGCCTTGGGCTTGGAGTCACGATTGCCTTCCTCGCCACTCTGATCACTCAGCTGCTGGTGTACAACGGAGTCTATCAGTAAGCGTGAGCTTTCAACGACCAACTCCATCCTGAAGCTGTTATTTAGCTTTTACTAAAAACATCCATGAAGCTGAGATGTTTCACCAGTATGCATGTGACATTGATTTAGGCCTGCTGCTTATTGTGGGTTCACCTGTTAAAAATGCACCATCAGTAATTTGATATAGAGGAAAAGCAGGCCGGAGCAGTGGACATCTCATGCAGGTGTTTGCATCCCACGGCCTCGTGTGCTGGCTGGCATCATATGCATCCACATTTAAGAAAAGCTCACCTGGCTGCCCATTAACCTTGGTGGTTCTGATTGCTCAGGTACCTTCTCCTTCCTGTTTCTCCAGGTACACGTCTCCGGATTTTCTCTACATTCGTTCCTGGCTGCCATGTATATTTTTCTCAGGAGGGGTAACCGTAGGAAACATAGGACGGCAGCTGGCTATGGTACGTGACTGTCCCATTGGCTCCTTACACTAGGGTCAGATGACGGAATTGCTTAGCACAGCACGTTATGATTTGTGTTGTTAAGTGTCTAGTTAAGACTCAAGGACAGTAATTGAGAAAAGCTTATGTTATAAAAAAATGGGCACCAATACCCAGGTAATTCTGTGCTAAATTATACAGATTCGAGGCTCTGTGCATGCGCGGTGAGAGCCGGGAGGCAGGCTGAGGTCTAGTGCGGCCTCCCCTTACAGATGCAGCCAACAGGTTTCCTGAGCTCACGACTGCTCGAGCACCTGGCAGGGGAAAAGCCACTGAAGCGGCTGACGAGTGGTTTCCTCCCCTTCACGGTGGCGCAGGGAGTCAGGGGCCACAGGCTGAACTGCAGAGACCCTGTGCCCGGCGGGCCTGGGTCAGAGCATGTCATCAAGGGCAGCGGGCTGGCACCCTCAGGGTGCGCTCAGCATTGGGTAGATGCCGCCCCCGCCCGCTGCACAGCCACTTCTGGAGAGCTGAAAAGGCAGACGAAGTTGGTGATTTCAGCAGTTCTCTTCATTAGTTCAGAACTGGCACTTGATCCTCTAATAAAAGAAAACCAAGTGCAGACGCCTGTTACTTCCAGTCGCCTGCAATTCAAGGTCTTGAGCGAAATGAACTGAAGAAAAAAAGCTATATAGTTTCCTGAGGGCCATTGCTCAGAGATTAATTCTGGGGCTTTCCTAGAAAATGTATCTTGGTGCTGCAGGCTATTTTTAAAACAGACGTTTATTTGTAACAGCTAGTACTCGTGAGCCGAACTTGAAGGCTGCTTGGCTGTCTCACAAAAGCAGAAGTCATTTCAAAACGGTAGAAGGTGTAAGGTGTTCCACTGGTTCCCAAGTCCGAGCCATCCTTTCTTTCCACTCCTTTTAAGTCCCTGTGGCTCTGCCACCAAAACACATCTGTTGAGAAATCTCTCTCACGTCCCCTGGCGAGAACCTAAGGACTGTGCTCTTCTCCCTCTAGCAGTGTGGCCAGCCACCGAATGCCTGTGCTCTGTCTTCTGTGCATGAGCTCTGCACCTTGGGTGCCAGCGTACAACTGGGCAGGGCCTTGATGGCCCATCGCTTTGCTACAGCAGTGCCCTGCCGAGAATTCTTGATAAGGCTTCCATGACAAAAGTGGCCTCAACCAAGGCGACTTCATAAAATCAAAGTGAAAATAACATTCAACCAGTTGGTTATTATTTTGGGATGGTGGGCTGACGCTGTTAAATAATGTGATGGTTTTTTTAACTAGTTTTAGGAAGCATTTTTTTTGCACAAGATCTGCCATCTAGAAATGGTTGGAGGGAAGCTGTTTTAAGAGTTGTACAGATGGTGCCGTTTGCGGATGCCGCCCCTGGAGGTGGCTGTAGTGAGTGGCCCTGGTGGTGCTCCCTTGATGCTTGTAGCAAAGGCCCCACAGGTGACTTAGCGGGAGATCGCTGGCACAGCCCTCCTCAGGGAAGCTCGCGCTCCTGTTTGCTCTTTACAGCCGGGGGAACTTAGAGTAGGGTGTTGTTATATCTTGAAACTGGAGGAGAGCAACTGTCCCTTGCCCTCCCAGGTCCTCAAGACAACAAACTTTCAGATCTCTAAGCACAACCCCACCTACCATGTTTTCCATCGGGAAGACCTAACTCCTTACCCCTGGGTCCCAGCTTAAGGGCAGTTGGCAGACGCAGACCCGGGAGGCTTAGTTCCCTTCGAGCAGGCCGACGGGCACGCCACAGCCCAGGATTCCACCGGGCTCGTCCGTGACGGGAACTGGTGACACTGAGCGGCTGCTGCGGGCTGCTCCAGGGAGGAGGGTGGCGAGGCCTGTCTGCAGGTTTCAGGCCCAGCAGAGCGCACAGCAGCTGGAGTAAGCAAGCGCGAAGCTGTTGCCGGTGCTTGGCCCCGGCCGTATTTCCACGGGACGTCAGCGAGAGCATGGCGGGCCGGGGCTCCTGGTGTGGCCACAGCACGGATCTGGAGGCCCGGGAGGGAGGCCGCAGGTAGCCACGGTGGAGGTGGAGAGCTCGGCCTGGTGAGCGGAGGGGGGCGGGAGGGGGGCCGGAGCGGAAGGGAAGAGCAGGTGGCTCTCTGGGAAGTAGGGCTGCAGCTCATGGAGGATTTTGTTGTGTTTTTCTGTTCTGCATGAAAAAAGTTTACTACGAAAACCGCTTTTCTAATGAGACGCACAAGTGTGATAGAAGTCCGTCACTGCCCGTGTGGCTGCCTGCACCCGGCTGGGGCTGTGAGGCAGGCAGAGAGTGTCGCCCCGTGGCCCACCCAGGCCGTCTGTCCTCTGCCTTCTCCGCACCCAAGGCCAGCTCCGCTCCCCAGCGGTGGCCTTGAGTGCCACTGCAGAGGTGGAGACTCAGTGCCCCCGGGCCGTGGCCCTGCCGGATCCACCCCCAGCCTGCCCCCCTCAGGCTGTCCAGCTGGTCTCTGCCTTCCTTTGTCTTGGCTCTGCCCCTGGGAATGTCTCTATGTGAGTCTTAGAAAAGTCATGCACTGGGGAAGCCCGTGATCTCTGTGGGAGGGACTGGCCTTCATGTTCCGACTCTGATGGCTTTGGAACCTCACGACCTGCTCCTCTAAGCAAGTCCTCCGTCCACTTTGAAATCAGGACACTGCCTTTCATGCCACTTCTGTGGGTTGACAGTCTTTCTAAAATTCATGCCACTGCAGCAACAAAAAGATAAGTGTGTGAAGCCAGAATTGTATTTTTCAGGCAAACAGAGTGTAGGAAATTATATCTGCACAGATTGTGTCTGGGCTGAACAAAGAGAAATACATTCTCAGGAAGGTTTGCCTTAGGAATCTGGGACCTGCCTGACTATGGCTTTTATAGGACATTTTCTTTGGGGGGCTTTCCCCCGTGAGCAGCACCCAGAGATGGTTGTGATGGGTTGGCGCGGGGCATCACCCTTCAGGCACATGCCTGCAGCCCTCAGCTCTGGCTGTCCAGGGCCCCGTTCTCGAGACGGCCCCGGCTGCTGCAGCTCTGTCACCTGAACCCACGAGCCTTCAACCAGCAAACTGGGAAAAGTGTGTCTGTACTGTGAGCTTTGTGTGTCCCAGAATTGTGGACCTAGAAAATACTGGTTGTGCTGCACTCCTGCACGGGCTTGGAAGCATAAGGTGCACCTGCCAGAACCTTCCTCATCCCCGAGACATGACTCCAGCAACATCTCCATAAAAAGCAAGTGAGGTATTTTCTTAGCAGAGAGGGAGTCAAGACACCTAGGCCTATAACCATCATTGTCTTCTTTCTTCAAAGAAATGAAAAAGTAAAGCAGCTTTCTCATTTGTAACAACAGGCCTAGTCTGTGCTCAGAATCTGGAAGCTCATTTCCACGTGTAAGCCTACAAGCTTGCCCAATGTCCTCAGAGACAAGCTGCCCCCACCAGCCCCTTCCCTGGCTGTGCCACCGCACAGTGAGGTTGGAGGTGCGTCTCCCCGACGCCTGCCTGCAGTCCTTGGCCCTCAGACTGCTTCGACGGGCATTGGAATTGCCTTGGTGTTTTAGGGGTTACCTTTAGGAATGAAGTCCTGGTTTAAAATTGATACCTTTGCCAAGTAAGGCTTTTGTGACAGGGCATGGCAACAGGGAAGATGGAAATCTGAAGGCACAGAGGTTCCAAGGAGGGTGCTTGGGTCAGCACTGTGACCCGTGCGACTGAAGGCAGGGCACCTCCAGGTTGGTGTTGGTTGCTGACGGTCCTTCCCAGGCCCCCGGCGCCCTGCCCCCTCATTCCGTCTCAGTTCTCCTGACATACCTGTTTCACCCTGCCTATGGGTTCCTCCTTAAAAAATGAAATTACTTGCAAGGACAGCCTTGCCCAAGAGCTATACAAGTTGGCTTTGCTTACAGTTAAGTGGTTTTATGTAGTACTTGTCAGCCTCTGTGTTGAAACGAAAATGAGTCTGTAGCATCATTTTATAGAACTTGTATTTGTTGCTATTTGTAGCTTAAAGTATTTTCGCAAGAAAAGTTCCAGCTCTCAGCTGGCATGGTGATAAGGTGGCTCTGCTTCCCGTCACCCAGGGCCCTGGACGCCCAGCAGCCACCCTTCCCGAAGCACAGAACCTAATCTGCCCTTCCTGTTTGTGACTGAGCCAGTCCAGCTGCTAACGATGGTGACAACATTCTCATTTTTGAGGGCTAACAGCTAGCACATGCTGTACACAAGGCATGGTGCTAAGCAGTTTCATCATCAGCTAATTTAGTCCTCAGTGAAGCAGTTTGAAGCAGAAAATGTTATTCGCCCGCTTTAAAGATGGGGAGGTTGAAGCTCAGAAGACTTAAATGCCTGGTGGGCACATAGAGGGAGCTGAAGCCAGGCTTCTCCAGAGCATTCTGCAGGCCCTTGAACACGGCATCCACCACCACCCACCTTCTGAGTCCTCGGGTCATGCTGGCGCCCTGTGTCTGCTGCGCGATACTGTCTTGCCACTTAAAATACATTGTTTTCAGGCAGCAGTAACGGGAGCATTGTGCCAACTGTGCCGTCTAGGGCCAATCACTACCACGGGTCTGTAGTTTTCTGTGTTCTTACACTAATGCCAAGCCTAATTGAGGCTCCTGTGGACCATGAATTCCCATGTCCTGCTCTCAGCAGTCATAGTGCCACGCTGCTCATGAGGGCCTTCTCCCCATTTTCTCTGGTTAATGTTTGTTTAGGACCTTTGCTCGCTCACTTAACAGCTTGTAATGGCTTCAAGTCACCTGTTCTGAAGTCTGTGTCCCTGAAGCAGGACCCTGGTGACTGCATGCTGTCTGTGGTCCTGCATATGAGAATTCTTAAGGTTCAGCTCCTTTGTCTTACAGAATGGCTGCTGAAATGGGGGAGGTGGGTGGGAGGTGTTGCGCAAGTTCCTCTGTGCCCTCCAGGAGCTTTAAGCCTCAGGAAAGTCATGGGACCTTTGTATCTGCTCTTTCGAGATGAAACAAAAGTCCTTGTTGAGTGGACGGCAGGTTGGTTGTGCCTCATGGAGTCTTCCTGAGGGTCAGACCGGTGGGGGGCGGTGGCGCAGTGTAGAATGGTTTCTAGTTGCGCAGCTCACTGTCGGAGGCAGTTGTTCTGTGCGGCAATGTGAGACCCATTTCCAACTCCTGTCTCACCAAACCGCTGGAAGGGCAGGCACAGTGGAGAAGCCGGGTGTTCATTTTAGCTGATGGCAGAAACTTCCCTTTCCTCAGGTTAACTGATTTTTGCACAAGTGCGCGTCCTCAAATCGCAGTGTGCAGGAGCTGCTGTCATGCTGCCACCACACTGACGGCAGCAGGGTCCCTTCCTGTGGACGTGGTTTCAGTCACGCTTCCAGCGCAGCCTGCTCACCCGTCCAGTGTGAGCAGGCTTCTTAGAAGGCTTCACGCCCCATTTCACTGGGAGTGACCTGACTTCCCAGGAGGCGGCTGGCCCCAGAGGCAGTTACTGCGGGACTGCGGGTCATGCCCGCTGGCCCAGTTTTGGCACATTTTGTCTCCATCCTCTTACCCCACCCTTCTTCATCCTTCCCCTTGTAGGGTCTGCTTAGTTGGACCTAATTAAGATGGGTCTACATTTTGTGCTAATTTTATCTTTTTTCTCTTTTTACACATAGGGTGTTCCTGAAAAGCCACATAGTGATTGAATCTTCAAACCTACTGACTCTGAAGAACAGCAAGATTTGGGAAGAAAATCTGTGATAATGGGTTGTGACAAAGATTATCTTTTTTCCTCAATAATCTGTTTAGATTGGGCTGATTGTACTGAGTGACTCCTGGAAAAAAAAAAAATCACCTATTTTAGAATAACAAATTGGAAAGAAAAACTACGTATCCTGAATCGTCACCTAGCCTGACTCGCCTGCGCTGTGTCTGCTCAGAGACCCAGGGTCCCCGGCTGAGCGTAAGAGTCCAAGCAGGTGAAGTTTCTCCAAGTATTCGATTTCCTTTCTGTCATTAAAAGCGAGTTGCCATATGTCCAAGCCTTGAACCTAAAGCCTACTACCAGCTCTTGTTTTACATCCATGCCCACAAGAGACAGCTTAGTGGTGCTTAACAAAGGAGAAGTGTGGTCAAATAGGAATAATGTGTCTCCTAAGATTTCTTAAATAGGGTTGTGCAAAAGGCGAGCAGCGGCAGCAGTGAGCACAGGGTGGCCGGGCTCGCGTGTCACCGTCACCCCTCTGCTTTTCATTCCCCCAGGGGACGGTGTGCAGACAATCTTACTGAGAGCAAAAGGCAGTGGGAAGCCATAGTTCTGCACTGCGGCGTCCTGGACTTCTCGCCTCAGTATTGGTGAAGTTGTACCCAGAATCCCTCGCGGTCCAGGCGTTCTGTCCGCCACGCATTTCAGTCTCAGCCAACACTGTTTTCATTTCTTTGATGCTCCAGAATCGAGATGACGGTTTTTTTCCCCACAGCCCTATGGAATTTGCAATCTGTGATTGCCTTGTAAGAGGAGAGCGCTTACGTCACCACGTTAAACATTTGGTGTTTCTAAAAACTCAAAGGTATTGGTGAGCACAATGTATTCATTTAATGGCAGAGACCATACTGGACCCAATTTGCAAGTATTGGGTCCTAAACTTCAAGTGCAATGTATATGAAAACCAATCTGAGCCTTGTATTCTCTTAAATATTTATTTTTTTTAATGTAAGAGATGTTAAAGAGGGGTTCTCCGTTCATTTCAGCACTGCATGGAGGCAGAATCCAGCAATAATTTCTTTGAATTGTGAAGTTACCTGGCTGTGACCCCACTGAGCCCTTGTCCTCTGAAATACTCCAACTTCGTGGATCTAGAATTTTTACTTACAAATTTACCTTTTTGTATTTTGCAATTTAAATGTTTTGGGTGTGTTTTAAGTTCTGTGAAAGTAGCTCGATTGAAGGACTCCTTTTGACCAGAAGCGGGGCAGTGGGCGGACGGGTCCTGGGCCCTGCCTGCGGCTGCAGCCCCACACCCTCTTTGTGGGCTCATCCATCCCTGTTGCAGTCGTTGCGTTTTGTTTTGAGGAAAATATCTTTAAGTAAATTTTAGGTTACTGTAGCTAATTTGTTTTAGAGGAATTTTGTTTAAAAGAAAGTGGGATTATTCTGAACTTTGCAGTGACCCCTTACACGTTTTCTGAACATGAAAACAAATGACTAGCTATGTGAAAAGATTTTTCAATATCAGCATTTTATGAAAAACCAGAAGTTATTAGATGAAAGCAGTGACTGAATCTTTAAAATACACTTGATCATGCACAAATGAGTATTTTTTCCTCCTAAACTGGAAGTATATATCTGTTAGAAGTAACATAGCCAAAAAATGTGAATCTGAAGAATTTTTTTGCCAATACTTTACAGCAGGTATATGAACCAAAGTGATGTGAGTTTGTAAAAATGTAACATAGTATGAACAAAATTTGCACTATCCCAGATTTGAACATCTAGTGAGATTCACATTCATACTGAGTTTTCAGCATTGTGTTCTTTTTGCATTCATTTTTTACTTTTATTAAAGGTTCAAAACCAATTGTATTTATGAGTTTTTCTTTAAAAAGGAGGGCTGGGGGTTCTTCGGTGTAGAATGTTGGTATTTGGAATGGAAAAATATTTTATAGCTCTTAAAACTTTACTGAATTTCAGTATCCTCCTGGGAAAATGCCACCTGAGTGTATCTTTTTGTAATGGTAGAAGGATGTGGGTTTTTTCCCTTAATGGTGGAATGGAGTAGTGACATTCAACCTCCCTCCTGTCCCCGCCCCGCTGGCACTGAGAGTCGGGGCCCACCCTGACCTCCAAATGCTGTCCTCTGTCTTGAAGTGAAAATGCCCTTTCTCTGTTCTAGATATGAGTGGGGGGCCACTGGGCTCCCAGCAAAAATGGCCCAGGGAAAGGGTGGGGCATCCTGGACAAGGAGTAGCTGGGGGGCCCTGGGGCTGGCTGGTGGGGGACCAGCATGGACCTCTCCTTGTTCCCCCATGCCTGCTGGGTGGCATGTGGGCCAGGACCTGGTGCATGGCATGGAGCCCCTTTGGGGCCCTGCACCTGGGAGGTGGGGGCTGGATGCAGGGGGCCCTGCCATGGTGTCTGGTGGTTCAGGCTTGGAGCCCCTGCAGGTGCCATGCCGGGTGAGTATGTGGAAGGAGGCCAGCACCACATTCTCAGGAAGGCCTGCTGAGTGTCATGGGGCACCTTGGGGAGCCTGGCACAGACCAGGTGCCTGTCACCTAAGGTGCAGACTGACCTGGAGTGCCAGGGCACCTCCCCTGTGAAGGTGACAGGGATGCTGAGGGATGCTGGCCCCAGGAGGGCAGCAGTGAGGTTGATGGCAGGACTGGAGGGGTGGCAGAGCTGTGCCCAGGCTGTCACACCACCCTCTGTGGTTCCCGGGAGGCCAGCCTGCCTCCCCCAGAACCTAGACTCCCCAAGAGCCCCCACAAGCACTCGCGCCACATACCCAGGCTCCAGGAAAATGTATTTCAAGTTGTGAAATAGAATCTCAGTGACAGCAGAAAAAGAACTGACGTTATTATACTCAACCCAGTACATTTTATGATACAGTCCAAACCAATAGGCTCTTGGGACATTTAACACAAAACATCCATGGATGCGAAGCCTGGCAGAGCTGGTGACACTCATTCGCATCATCTCAGACGCACAAAGGTTTTGCTGAGATGAATCCGATATGTGGATCTAACAGAGTAATGTCCACTTTGGACCAGTCCAAGTCTGTGTTTTAGAGTACATTTAGGAAGTGGGACATTTCCTGGAATTTCTCTGGTCTGTAAGCAAGTAATTGAATTGCCCTATTTCATTAAAAGGTAAGGTATGTACTTCACAGATTTTCCTGCTTTTCAGCTGCATGAGCAAAGCTGAGTAAACGGGAACTCAGGATGGACACAGGGTGTTGGGTTTACTTAGCTGGTTTTCGGTCACCTCCAAATTTACCTAATGTTAGTGTAAAGACTCAAATGAGATAAACCAAGTCACTCGGGGCCCTGGCCTCTCCCCCCTTTGAATTAGACATTCCATCTCAGTGGTAAAAAAGAGACAATGGAAGGAACCAAGCTTAAACCTAACTTGTCTTCTCTACTTCACGTGTTAAAATAGACCTTTTGCTAAAAATGTTCACTTTCTGGGAGTTTCAAATTAGCTCAATAATGCAACTGGCAGATAAGGCCTTGGAGTAGGGACATACCCTTTGAGAAGCACTGATGCTGTGAAACATTAATAAAGATTTGGAAATTCGGCTTCAATGCATAGTATCTTATGCAATGAGGTGCTGGCCTGAGACCCACTGATCTACTGTCGGGCTGCTCTTGGAGAGGCGACAGGCTGGTGAGCCACAGGTGAGTCACAGGAGGAAGTTCGTATTGATCCCTGAATGTGGCCAACATACAAAAAGAGAGATGTGTGAAATACACCCAAGTCCTAACATCCAGACACAGCGCTCTGTGGATTTTCTGTCTCTGTCCTCCTAAGATTTGCAGCAGAATTCTTACCTGAGCATGTATAAAATCACCTAAGGGGACAAAGAGGTGGGTGGTGAGGAAGAAAGGGGGCATTATGACTAGCATGCATAATGTGGGGGGTGGGGGCACGGGGAGGGCTGTGCAACACAGAGAAGACAAGTCGTGAATCTACAGCATCTTACTACGCTGATGGACAGTGACTGCAATGGGGTATGTGGGGGGAACTTGGTGATCGGGGGAGTCTAGTAAACGTAATGTTCCTCATGTAACTGTAGATTAATGATACCAAAATAAAAAATAAAAATAAATAAAAATCACCTAAGAGTGCCAGGCATAAGGCAGACCCCTCCTTGCTCCCCAGCATGCTCTGGACAGGTGAATGGGCTGAGATAGGGTGTGGGTGCAGCTTAGATTTGGGACTTCGAAGTCCAACAGCACAACATGACAAGTGGCTCCTCGTCTCTGTGTCTGCGTATTAGACATGGATTCCTCTCAGTGTTAACACCTCCCTCACTAGCCGTTCTCTGCGGCTTGGGCTCCCTGGAATGCACGTTCTCAAGTTCAGGAGCACAGGGAAGCAGTGAAGGAAGATGCAGTTTGAAGCCACAGCTCCGTCCCTGGAGGCATTTTCTCAGTAGAACCTGGCTCTTCATGTTTGTTCTGTGTCTTCTCTCAGGCAAATCCCCTTTTAAAACTGCACAGTTCTTAGTACAACCATTGTGGAAAGCAGTATGGAGGTGCCTCAAAAAACTAAAAATAGAAATACCATTTGACCCAGGAATTCCACTCCTAGGAATTTACCCTAAGAACACAGGAGCCCAGTTTGAAAAAGACA